GTTGTCAATACAGTGATGCTGAATTTAGAGCAAGTTTTCCATTTCGGAAACATGACCTGAAATGGTATTTCCCCCGAAACACACCTGCGGCCCAAAAAGATGCAGAAATGGCTTTTCAGATGTGGCAAAATGTTTCAAACTTAACATTTACAATGGTTACCAATCCCACTCTAACGTATATCCTCCTGATATTACTATAACCATGGTTAGCAAGACTCATTATTTTAGCGCAAACTGTATGGGTAATGATGAATGTCCATTGACATTAGATGATGCTGGCGGCGTGTTTAGGACATGCATACTTTCCTGACTCTAGCGGCACCTGTAGAGAAATCCATTTAGATATAAATGAACGCTGGTATTTTGGAAATAATCCTAATATACCCAAAAATCAAACTAGTTTTCTTATGGTGTTGGTTCATGAAATTGGACATGCCCTCGGCATAGCACATAGTGCTTCTCCGAATGCTATTATGTTTGCCTTCTATCAGCATGAGATTCGTGGTCTAGATGTTTTTGATATAAATGCAGTACAATATCTATATGGAAGAAAAACAAATATGATTCAATCCCAACGTCTACCACCGCATCAGCAATACCAAAAACAACAACAACTATAAGATCTACAACTCGTAAGCAGCCGATCCTCAAAAATTTGTGTGATATTATTCCAGATTTTATGTTTTTAGCTATTGCTCCAGAGTTTTCAAATTACCGATTATATATTGCACATGATATGTTTATATGGAAACTAGACTTAAACGAAATGATTATCCCATCTCAGCCTGAACTTCTTGTCGATTATGTTCCTACAGAATTACGTCAATACACTTTACAACATATTTTCCAATCAACAAACGGTGACTTGATTACCATTGTGTCTCCAAACAAATATTTCTCAGCATCATTCCCTACCATTAAATTTCTTGATAATTTTTCAATTGATATACCCGATAGGGCTCGAATCAATGCTATTTTTCAATCAAACGCAGGACGGTCCTATACCTTTTATAATAATATGTTATATATAGAATTTTCTAACGATTTTACTGATGTGTTGAACAGAGGACGGATAAGAGACATATTTCCTGGGTTACCTGAAGATATTTCTCTCGCATTTCGATGGATTGATGGCCATATTTACTTTTTCCGTCACGCAACTTACTATAAATTTAATGAATTTACAAGAAAAGTTGTTGCGACCGGACCATTTCATTGGACTCTATTTGGAGTACCATGCCCCAGCGAGGATTTGTTACATCAACTAAAAACTCTGTTATCTAAACTTGTATCTGTATATCATTAAAAAAAATACATTTTTCAGAAAGCTATGTTTATTTCGTATTCAGCCTGTTGTCAAACAAAAAAAAAACATTCGGTTCCTTCCTTAAAACAATCATTCAATCTACCTGCACGACCAGAACACAGCGATATTGATTCAGACGACACTGTAGGCAACTGAAAATTTCATACACACACACACACCAATCAACCTTATTGTTATATATACTATATGTTTCAATAAAATATTCATTATACTATTTTCATTTTGAACGGTATCATCCTGTATAATAATAACAGTACATCGTATACAGGTTATGAGACATTCTGACCGACCGACCGACCGACCAGAGGAGCCCACCACGCTATTTAGGTCACGCCTTGCTATATACGATTTAACGATATACCGTCGGTCCATCGATCCGCTATTTTTCGATGCACCCCTGTATACACGTTCTGAATGCCCCCCGTAATCCACGCCAACACCAGACAGGTGCGACATCGGCGCCATCTATGCGCGAGATGCCCAACCCATCAATGGCAGCTGTCCAATGACACATAGATTCCGTTTGGTTTGTACAGCGCCAAACAAATCGGCGCCATCTATGCGCGAGATGCCCAACCCATCAATGACAGGTGTCCAATGACACATAGATTCCGTTAGGTTTGTACACCGCCAAACAAATCGGCGCCATCTATGCGCGAGATGCCCAACCCATCAATGACAGGTGTCCAATGACGTATGACAGATGACGTGTAATGCCATCTATGCGTGAGATGCCCAATGACGCATGACAGGTGTCCAATGACACACAGATTCCGTTTGGTTTGACAGCGCCATCTAGCGGCGGAATCCCCAACTCATGAATTTCGATTACAGATTCCGTCCAACAACCTGTCAATGGCGCGCGACGCCAGCGCCTCTGGTGGCGGATTTTGGAAGTTTTGAGACCGAATCCCCATAAGACATCTACTAAAAACTATTTTAGAAAGTAAATTTAAACACCCTGTATTTCGGAAGGCACGCATTTTTCGACCTATGTTTATAAAGACTTTATGCATTAATTTTAAAAGTTCTATCGAATCTTAAAGTTATGCAGCAATAAAGTGAAACACCCTGTATGTTCGAATCCTGGTCCCGGGAGTGGATAAAAATATTGCTTATACCACCCTTCCAGATACACTTCCATCCAACCAGATATACCTCAATTATATTGGGATGATAACTTTAAGATTCTGAGGAAGTACATATTCTGCAATTCGCGTATGGAAATTGGACATGGCTCCTAGGTTGAAACTAATACCCTCGGAACTTTGTTACCATTGCAGTGTCAAAGGAGACTTGGATCACATCTTTTTCGGTTGTATTGAGCATCCTACACACTGTGCCAATCTTTACCTAAGCTGACTCGTGTGCAGATTTCCTGCTCCGTACAATACACAATCACTTCTCTCGCTACAAAAACCTGAAGCGACTTCTTGCTTCATTGGATTCATCAAAATTTTTGGTATCAAAGTCTAGAGTCGCTAAAATAATTCAATTTATTCTCTTTGTCTCCCTTTATCCGTCATCCAGACAGGGTTAATGACTATAGATTACAGTGTAGACGTACGCTGAGGAACGACTTAAAAAGTGGAGGTATATATAATAATACGTCTAGGACGCAGTTCTATTATGAATGAAGCTCAAGGACGCGATCTTGTCAACAGAATCATAAGATTCGCGAATATTGGGATGCCACTTACTTCTAAGATTATTCGTAGACAAGCATTCATCTTTTGCGAAAAATATGAATTTAAACATAATTTTAACAAAAACGTTGGCCTTGCTGGCTAAATATGTTTTTGATGCGACAGCCAGAAATTTCAAAACGAAAGGCACAGTTCATGAATCCAGCCAGGGCGCAACAGGTGAACAGACCAATCGTAAGTCACCACCTTGAAGAAGTTAAGAAATTATATGATGACGAACTTGATATAGCAACGCATCCAGAAAAACTTTACAGAGAGATCTTGAGTGATGTAGAAACAACACCTAAGAAGATACAGATCATATAGAAACGCTGTCACTCTGATGCAGTCACCACAACCTTCCACTTCAAGACATCACAGGTCTCCTATATATATCGTCGTCAAGTGATTTATAGTTCAGAATCCGAGGCAGATACTGAAACGACTATTGTACAGCACAGAACAAATTTGGCATCAAACAAACCATCACTGCCGCTGGATAATATATATTGTTCTAAAGGAAAAATGGAAGACAGCGATAGTTTCAGTTCTGATGACAACATACCTTTAGCTAACTTCAAAGCTAAGAAATTTAGGTCTCCTTTTCAAGAGCTTTTGACAACTCCGAAGTATGCTGTAACAAAATTAAGCCTAGGAGAAAAGCTATTAATTATAGAGGCCAACGAATTACCAAAGACCTATTCAAAGAACGAGAAGCATTGAATGAAAACGAGAAGACAAAGAAAGCAACATTGAAAAATTATAAAAGAAAAACCAAAGAAATATCAGAAAAGAAAACTAAAGATGGAAACCAACAACGATCTCATAGTGATGAAAGAAAAAGAAGCAAAGTTCCGTCAGAAGAATCTTGGTTTTGCTGTGCTTGCAAGGAAAATCGTGTGTCGGATATGAAACAGTGTGTTAAATGTCACATATGGCACCACGAAGAATGCGTAGGGTTGAATACAAATGATAAGGAATTGCTTTATTGTCAAAACTGTGATGAATAAGTATCATTGGGTAAAGTAGGATCTATATTGATGGACTATTTATTTGTATTCAGTCGAACCTCTTAGTCGTTCAAGTGCAATATTTCTAAACGAATCTACTTCCAAAGTTCCCAACCGAAAGTCTGATTTAGGATATGTTATTTGAGTCTTAACATAAGAAATCTTCTAATAATTTAAAAAGTGGCCTTATTACTCCCCGGAGGTTAATAAGGCCCATTGTTATTATCTCTTAAATTTATGTAATTAAATGTTTTTTGTTGATTTTAGCTGCTGAAAAATGCCAAAAACTTTGAGTTTTGTTGATAATTTCATAAGAAAGAAATATTTTATTTTCGGGCCTTGAATTACTGTGGTAGTTTAATAAGGCCCATGGCAAGAGTTTTTGAAAATTGTCATGCTTATTTCCATGCTGATCTCTGTGTTACTATTTATCTTTTATTCTTACCTTAAATAAAAAAGCTTTCTACTGAAGTACGTTTTTTCAATTTTTTTGATATAATTCCTGAGTTTTTTAGCTTTAAAGTTAGGTGGGCCTTATTCACCTCAGGCACCTTAGTTGTATGAACGCAAAAAAATAATACTATATTTTTCTTAGACAGGCGAAGACGCTGTCCGCCAAGTTTGGCCCATAATAATGTGTTTTGATGTCATACCATTTTTAAACAGCAGCTGACAGCAACATAACCTCTAAGCATGTAGCATGACTTCTACTAGTTCACATGAAAAATATGGTAATTTTCGTTATTGTCCATCGCCCGGGAATGCAAAAACATATCGATAAAGACCCCAGGAAAGCTGCGGATTAGAGTGTCTCGGAAAATAGATACTGCTTTAAGGAGAAGTAAATAAGTATTGCTTCAAGCATCGGAACATATTTTACATTATAATGTGCAGATTTTTTCATCTCGTTTAAGTTCTGTGGAACCTACGGCATCATCACCATACTATTTCCTTACAGATGTGTAAGAAGGGGTACAATATTAGATAAAACTATTCTGAATATATGACGCATGACCTTAGCTTTGAATGACTTCTAAAAAGAAAGGTTATGTAAGTGTATTACCTATACTTTCTTTTTATGTCTATCAATATATCAGAAGCACCTTACTTACTATACATAAAAGTCTTGATGTTCCTCAGCTCGGCTGAGCAGAAGCATAGGTTAAATTGTTTTCTCTAATAAAACTAGAATACAACTTTTTACGTTGATTAGGAGTTTTTTCAGAGTATTTAGAGATGGCAACTTTTATCCACGAGTGACATACGGATGACGTATTAAAAATTTAAATTTTTCATTGTCGCTGCTAAAGAGGGGCTTCCCAGTTAATGGGTTGACCTTAAATTGACAGTCAAACCCAAGGTCACCATGGAAATTCTTGTTGAAAGCGACTAAAGAGGTATAAAAATCATCCGAGATGAAAAGGGCTACGATAGTTAGCTACAGCGCCATCTGAGAGACACTAACCCTTTCAAGGCGAATTTCTAATTATTGTGGAGAGGGGAAACCTATTTGCATATACTGTGCATATGAGCAGGAAAGGGTGCAATAGGGTGAGGAAAGCAGGTGTCATCGCTGGAGCAGTGAGACATTTCTAAAGTAGACAATACGCAGAGGTATAAATCCTCTGATGTATGAATTTTGCTTGAATCGCAATATGACGTAACGCTTCTCAACTTGTCAGAATGACTTGCAATCAAACAGTTGCAGTTACGTATGTGTGTCGGTTGAGAAGAGTTTTGAGAAGATAAAATGTCTTCGGGTCATACAGAAATCTGACAAACTTCTGGTATTAGTTGGGAATCCCACATGTCTAAAGCAGATCAGTACCGTACTTACTCTGAAACCTTGTAAATTTTGTGGGCACAAGTAGTCCAGTTCACTTGCTAATTGTTTAAACGTAATGTGTAAGCCGTTCTCATATCCCGTCACGTATGCATTATTTGGGTGATTTAAAAATGATCTCCTAGTCATATTGGCGTCAAAGTTATATCCACTGTCAATGTCCCAATCTGCCGGCTTATTCGCTTGGTGATAGTCTTTGAAATGAAACCTGTAGATAAGGAATATATAGTTTTGTAATAGCATATCAGAATGATTGATTTTTGTCAGAGCTTCAGCTGTTGCTGTAAATACTTCTACTACTTCTATTACTACATCTACTTTTTTTAAAGGTGAAAAAAGTTTCTCACGTTGTGCTGGGCTTAGTCGCCAGGCCCGTACCAGCTAAAAATAACGATCCCCTGCGATACTCGGAGCCGCTACATGCATAACCCCTTAGCCTTAATTCTATTGGGTACCCCGAGACTGGAGACTCCGTTCGTCCTTTTCTTTTGCTGTCATGATGGTGCTTACAAGTTTATGTATCGCCCTCCAGGTTTTCACCTCCGCAATCACCTTATGGGCAACAACGGCAGGTTCCGCGTTTTCAATGTCAAAGTCTAAGTAGTATGTTGAGCGTTGTCGGTTCTCCGCAGTAAATACAACTGTCGTCTCTGGTCTCGCCAGTTCGCATGGTATATGCCCTAGGGATCCATCCCCTTCTTTAGCTGAATTGAATGTCGGCTAGCCCTTCACTTGCCTCCAGTTCTTGTTCCCGTCACGCCTTGATGAGGGACTCAAACAGCTTGCACGGTGTGTCATGCAACCATAAGGGCCTGTGTTTTACTTGTGTGACTTGCACCGATATTTTAGGGATTAGTATGTGCTTGGAGGTCTTCCAGCTTAAAGACAAATCTTGCTTAGCTAGCATTTGGTCAAACATGTTGAGTATCCATGTTGAGAATGCTTTTGCTACCGCTATGCTTTTTGAGGTTTTTAGTGGCAGTCTCTGACTCCTCTAATGTAAATGGCGTTAAGTTTTGTACAGGAGTTTCTTTGGCACCCTGGCGTTGGGCGGCGGGAAAGAGCTTTCTGGCATCTGCCTTTTCGTGTCTGTGTCCATTTCATAAGCTCAAAACATGTTGAGTTTTTTCAGGGCGATCTTGTATCCTTGTCCCCATATATCTCGAACGAGCTCTGCCCAATAAGTTCCACATTGCTTTCTTCTTGTCGAGTATCGCGCTTTGTCGGTTTATTTTGGCGTTTTTGTACAGTTGTTTCGCCTTATCATGGTCTGCATTGGAAGTGTTTCCCTTAGCAGCGATTCTTGTTAGCTTTCTTCTCTTTCAAAGGCTTGTCCTTCCTCTTACCATCAATGCCGTCGCATCACTAATATGGTAATTTCTGAAAAGGTCTTTCTCCATTTGTTTGTACGTGCTTTTCCAGTCTAGCGATAGAATAAACGCCTCCCAGTTGAAAAGCGGTCGATGACGTGTAACCCCATGCCATATCTTGTAGTTTGTTGTTATTTCAGGGTATATGAAATTATGGTCACCGAGGGTTTCGTCTTATAAGACCTCCCACTTTTCCACGCTTCTGCCAAGTCTTTGCGTAGCCAGCGTGACGTCTATGAAGGGCTCTGCACATCCTATAGAGAAAGTTGGTCCGGCTCTAGGGTTTAGGACGACGAGGTCAACTTCCGCAATTAGCCTGCTGCGATAGTGCCCTCTTCGATCAGTGTTCGGTGATCCCCATTGTGGTGATTTTGCATTCAGATCCCCTAATATTACATACGCGTATCCGCTTGTTCTTGTGGCGTCTACGAACTCATCTACGTAGCTCATAAACTCGTCCAGAGGAATGTTTGGCGAGCAGTAACAGCGGTATGTGCGCTGTATCCCTCCTTGGCTGTGACCATGTTCAGGCCAAGTTTCTTGGTTCTGAATCGCCACATCAGATCTCCTATTGCTCATTGGCCGCTATGCTTCTGTTGGGTTCAGACGCTATGATAATCTCAACGCCTCTCTCTACAAACTCGACATCTCTGAGCGTTAATTTGCATAACCCTCAGCGCCTGAGAGTTTTGGTCTTTTGCGTTAAGGTATTGCGTTATTACTCCGTCTTCATGCTCCTATATTTAGGTCATCTCATATTGTCGTTTGTATGCCCTTCCATTGCACATGTATAGCAGAAAGCGTTATTCTCATCTGGGCATTCCTTTAGTTTGTGGCCAACTTTTCCACATCTAAGATAGTTGTATTCTCTATTTGGTCCCTTGCACTCGTGCCGCGTATGACTAAATTCTTTGCACATAAAGCACCTGGGGATTGCGTTCTTTTCGTTTACTGTGCAACTGAGCTGGGCCACCTTCTCGATAATAGGAATATGCGAGCCTTCCTTTCCTCCATTTCAATCGTGAAGTTTTGGTTTTCACCATAGGCTGCTCTCGCAGACCCAACAGTGAAGTCGTCATCGCTGATCTCCTGATCTCCAAGGCATCTTTTATCGAGTGGGCATTCTTAGTCTCACTTTCATCTGCACATAATATGCATAATTTTTGCAACTTTGGATCCCTAGTTATCACTTTTTGGTCTCCTAGCCCTTTAGCCAATGCCCCTTTCAACTCTAGGGCTGCGTGGTGTCCACTTTCTATATGTAATATAGCCATCTCTCGATTTTTTGACTGCGCGAATAGTCTGAGATTATTTGTCTTTTTCACGTCTCCCGTGATGTTCTTCAGTAGATCGGCGTATCACTGGACAACAAATTTTAGTCTTTTAATTGTATCTTGTGGGAAAAGTGCACTTCTTTGTTAATTTTGGGGCACTGAATCCAAAAATGACAATGAAATAAAAAAATTAGTTGCGGTTTAGAAAAAAAACTTTTTATTTTTAAGGATATATTAAAACAAGTAACAAGATGCATATACTTTTAAGAATCACTATATGCGCTGTCTTTTTGCTGTTCTTTTATGGATCGTTTCTGGAGCATCTCTACCAAGAGTCCAACAGTAGTCTGCAAGCATGGAAGGATTCCACTTTCCCTGGTACCTTTTTTCCATTGTTGAAATATCCTGATGAAAACGTTCGCCGTGCTCATCACTTACGGCTCCGCAATTGTCAGGAAAAAAGTCCAGGTGTGAGTGTAGGAAATGTATCTTAAGAGACATATCACAGCCCATCTTTTGATACGATGACAGCATACTTTTGACAAGGGTTTTATAGTTGTCAGCTTTTCTATTTCCCAAGAAATTAGTGACCACCAGACGGAAATCATTCCAAGCAGTTTTTTCAATACCTGTTAAAGTGTTTTCAAACTGTGTATCTTTCAAAATATTTCGAATCTGTGGCCCAACAAAAATACCTTCTTTAACCTTTGCCTCACTTAGTCTTGGAAATATCTGACGCAGGTATTGAAATGCTGACCCATCTCTATCTAATGCCTTGACAAAGTTTTTCATTAGGCCCAACTTGATATGCAGTGGTGGTAATAAATGTTTTTTCGAATCTACTAATGGCTGTACATTTTTTGACCTGGCTCTAGGAATTGACGAGCAGGCCAGTTTTGTCTGGTGTAATGAAGTGCCTTTGCCCGACTTTCCCATTCACACAAAAAACAGCAAAACTTTGTGTAGCCTAGCTGCAGCCCAAGTAAAAGTGCAACAACTTTCAAATCGCCACAAATATGCCATTGGTGCTCATCGTATTTTATGCATGTCAATAGGTACTTCATATTGTGATATGATTCATTCATGTGAACTGCATACCCTACAGGAAGAGATGATAAAATATTTCCAATATGCAATAACACTGCCTTTAAACTCAATGTTGAACTGTCTATAAACAATCTCCATTCTTCTGGGTTATAGTTTATAGTTAAAGCAGCCAGTAAGTCGTTAATGTTACTGCAGAAAACCAAGTTATTCTCCATATTGAAAAATGGTTCTAAATCTTTGTGGCGTTTACGAAAAACACATACCGAAACATCGTCTTCTAACAAGTTCCACTGCTGCAGTCTTGATCCAAGTAACTCTGCCTTACATTTTGGAAGTTCTAAATCTCTTACAAGATCATTTAATTCTGACTGTGTTATTTTGTGCGGTTGGTGACATGACGTGCTCGGTATAAAATCAGGATCTCTTGACGTTGATGGCATATCTTCTTCCTGACGAATCACTCGATCGCCATGATCTGATTCGTTTTCTGATTCGCAAGTGTAGGATTCTGGGGGTTTTGGAATAGGATTTTCGTCACTGCGAGGCACAGGTCTCAACTCAGATGGTGTGTTTGGGTAGTTAATAACCGATTTTTTTTTCTTGGACATACCTGTGGCTTGTACAACACAAGGTACCATGCAAAAGTAACAATCATTAATATGATTTGTAGGTTCTCTCCAAACCATTGGGACAGCAAAGCGCATAGACCGTTTTTTGCCATTGAACCGGCTCCTCAGGCTTGAAGCACATGTATTACAGCAGATGTGGGGTGCCCACTGTTTGTCTTGATCACCTAGTTTACAACCGAAATAAAGCTGATATGCCTTTGTTATTAGTGAAGTAATAGACCGTCTCTGAGACGCAAAAGTCACATCACCACACACGTAACAAAACTGATCTGGATTTTTTACACACTTTTGAGACATCTTGCATGAACGCTGTCAGCCAACTGAGGAAAAAATGGCTAATATAAAACAATATAATGTACACGTATGTATAACGTAACACAATCATGCCGATTACATCATCTTTCCTTACCGAATATAAAAATGTAGCACGTGCATTCTTGTAAATTACAGTATATTAACACTGTCACAGCAGGAACACATATAATTACCGCATCTCTAAAACTTGAACTAATATTGAAAAAATAAGTTTCATTCCGGTTTTAGCACATTAAAAATAGTAAAATTATGTTGATTTTATTTAGGATATTTTTTGGCTGTTGATCAGTGATCTGCCATCCGCTTTCACGATGACGGTGCCAAGATCTTGTGGTACGTCCTCAGCCAGCTCGAGTTACTGTCGCTTTAGCAGCTGTGTCTTCCGCCTTCCAGCTATAAAGCGTGATGGTCCTTGAGACAAACTCAACGATCTTCCAGATTGCTCCTTGGTTCACTATGTCTGGCGTTGGAAGACCAATTTCCGAAACGTCTTCCACCTCAGCTGTGTCTTTAAGGTGTTTCATCTTTGGTGAAAGCTCTCGAGTAGGTCAATTTCAGAAACATTCTCAGAATGCACCATCTTGAATATACATCTTTGTTTCGTCTGCCTGCCCTTTACCTTCTGCTGCCTGGGTATCTGGATCTTTTTGTAGGTTCCCTGTCATGAGGCAGAGCGCCGAGCCTCCTGACTTTGACGCTATTGTGTACCCTTCACTTTGTTGTCGTGTTGCTCTAAACACATTGTGGCCACTTCATATCTTACAGTTATCGAAAGTTTTCAAGGCCGATCTGCGAGCCTAGATGGCTACTTATTTTCTCAGCGTCTCTCGCATTTTGTTCTCGGGTCTCTGTGGCTTTGTTGTTATCGTCCAAATTTGCCTGAGCGCCTGCTGATCGGAGCGTCGATGTGAAGGTTTGCGTCTCGGTGTTTGAGAAGGTACTGGTTGCCCCTTCCTGATGTTGCCAAATCTTTTGGCCGTTGTCACTCCCTTTCCATTGTCCCTCCTGCACTTTGAGGGGTTTTCCGCTTCATCTTCGGTGAACTCGCTTCAAACTGTGAGTAAAACCGAGTAAAAGACCCTAACCATCGGCAGCTCCTGGGAATGGAGTCACTTCTGGATGGATGGATCTACCGCCATATCGTAAAACGTCGTGCTTCTCGGATTGATTGCCACATTTAATAATTTTGTGCTCTTCAATATTAGCCTCACGAGCAAATACGGAGATACGGTCGGCCAGCACAGAGCCCCGCATGTGATGGTAAGGCTGAATTCAGCTATTATGTTCGTATCGCCAGATCGTCATTCCATCCCGGTCGCCATTCGAATTGTTACCGTCATCGTCATCCTCTTCGTTATTTGGTCGTCGTATGGTCCGTCCGCCCCTCCCCCTGTTGAGGTGCCCTAGATATAGCATCAGGATAGGGTTTACTCTCAATTCTTCGGGTCAGTATCGACCGGCTGCCTCCACCACAGCTGTGGGAGTCCGGTCTACCATTCGACAGTCGCCCGCTTCGGATCAGACACTGTCGAAGTACCCTGCGGTTGGTTCTCGCCAAGGGGGTTGGTTACCCGATCTTGGTCGTCCAAGCACCCAGTTGCCCCAACTCGTTTAAGCACCTTGCCAGGGTGCACGTGTGACATGTCAAAGACGCGAGCTGGGCTGCACACCTCACTACAACTACTACTACTTCTACTACTGCTGCTCGAAATGGTGAGAGTAAAGCTTGAATCAATCACCCAGTATATATACTGAGTGGCAAAAAAGGCTAAACACCTACGTATGTTTATCCGATTTTAATAATTTTTAGCATATATGTTCAGTGTCCCTTACTAGTAAAATGATTTACGTAAAAAAATAATTAAATTTTCAGCGTGATTCGTCAACTGACTGCAGAAACTGGTTCACTAATGTGTTGAGGATCCACGATTTCTTATACACCCTTTGACACGCCTGGTCATCGTGCTAATAAGGTGGTCGATATCCTCTTATGGTATCTCATTCCAGGCTACTGCAACTTCGTGAGTAAGAGCTGCTAAAGTCCGTGTATTGTGTTGCAAACTCAAAAGCCTGCGACATATTATGTCTCAGACATGTTCAATTGGAGATAGATCGTTGTGGCCAAGGTAAACGGTTGATGCGATGTTGATCCATGAAGACTGACGGTGCTCTGGCAACATGCGGTCTAGCATTGTCTTGCTGAAAAATCGGGTTTTGGATGGTGTTTAGGTATGAAATAAGATGAAGCTCCACTACTTCCTGAATATAGCGTCGGGCTGTCATATTGCCTCTGATGACAATTAGCGGTGATCAG